GAGGTCATGGGCACCAGGCTCTGTGCTAGGTTAGAATAAATTCTATATAATATAAATGCGCATATACATGTATATACGCACTTACATATATATCATGCACATATACACTAGAATGTGCATATACATAACACATACACACACACACACACACACACACACACACATATAAATATATATACACACACACACCTATATATATTTTTTCTAAGAGAAAGGTAGAAGGACAGATACAGTTTTAAAAATCTCTTGCAGTTTTCACTGCGAAGAAGCAGACCCAGGTCTCTGTAAAGTTGAATTTTGCCACCAGACAGCTATGCTGTTCAATCAGTGTTTCTGGATGATGGAAATGGATTCCTCCTTCTCCTCTTTCTACTTCCTTTTCTGGCCCCCCAACCCTTATCCTATTCTGCTCACTAACACCTCCATAGCGTCGGAGAAGAGATGAACTCAAATTAGTCAATTTGATTATTTTCAGTCACCGCTGGGAACGAGGTGGGAGGATGGCGACTGGCGGAGTTTTAAAAGCAGAGCTGAGGCATTATCCGTGCATGACGATGCCCTGGCTATTTCCTCCCCACCACCATCACAGAGAACTGAGTTGATGACAGTGTTGTTCTGTACTCTCTCCCAGATCCCAACTCCTACTCATCCTTTAGTGCCCAGCTCACATGGCCCCTGTTGGAAGCCTTCCCTGACTTGCCTGGGCAGAGGGCAGGCTCCCTCTCTGCACCCACATCACTTTGTTCATGCCGGGGCTCTTGCCCACCACCTGCTCCCATGACTGTTGGTTCCTCTGTCTTCGTCATGAGCTTATGAACTCCTGGAGGGGCTGACTGGGCTTGATTTGTCTTGATGCTTCCAGGCCTAGCACAGTGTCTGGGGCATGGTGAGGGCTCAGGTATTATCTGTTTAATGAATGTGCACATTTTAAAGAGAACACTCTTAATTTAGTGTTCAGCAGAGAGAGGGTTTCAGAAATGGGTATTTGTTTTCTGACCAGAAAAAAAAGCAGATCAAGATCTAAATGCCATCATTTCTACTAGAATAGCACGGACTGTTGCCAGCCACCTTCTCTCACCAGAAAAAAGGCTCCTGTTCTAGCCATTCACCAGCAATTTGTGCAACACGTTGCACATGAAGTGCTGTCAGCACTTACCACTCCCAGGGCCCTGGGGGTGGAAAGGCCATGTATCTACCCTCACAACCTCCCATTCGGCTGATCTGTGTGAGCCCATTTTACAGCTGAGGAAACTGTTTCAATATTGCAAGGAGTAGATATAAAATATGCACTTTAGAGAACAGAGGGTCAAATAAAATTCGGCCCTTTGCTTTGTAAGACTGCAACTGCCATCCATCTTTGCTTAAAGCCCTGTTACCAGCTCTGAGCTGTCCTCAGAATGGACTCAACTCTCTCAGCTCGACATTCAAGGTCCCTGGTTAATCCTCCCAGCTTCCATCTCTGAGTGAGTCCCTCTCTGACTCACCTCACCTCACCTGCACGGCCACAGCGAGTCCCTCCAAGAGGCAGCCCTCGTGTATGCTTCTCCTCTACCTGGAGACCTTCCCTGAAGTTTCTCACCCTCCCCGATATTCACCTAGCAGACCACCCCTCATCTCTAGGACGGAGTGGAGACAGCGTGTCCCCAGGAAGCTTCTCCGGCTCTGCCCCTCACTCTGCTCACATGCTTCCAAGGATGGGGAGCTCACTACCTCAAGCACCCCACCTCTTGGTCCCTCACACCCACTCTGATCAGAACACTGACAACTGGGGTGCTGTCTAGCAGGCCTCCTAGTGAAACCATAAACAACTTGAGGGCAGGAGCTGAATCTCAGCATCCTTTTCCCCGGTGTCTAGCACTGGCGCTGATACAGAATAGGCACTCACATGTTTGTTGAATGGATTGGTCCTCCCTCTACCCAGAAGGCCAGACTTGGCAATAGTCTAGGTGGATGAATTCCAAGAGAATTGGTACCAGTGACCTGTGGGAGGTCCCAGGGGAAATTCCTACTCTAGCAAATCGGTACCACAATGACCAAATTAGGACAACTGCTCACTTGGACCTGATTTATCAATGCATCTTCTCCAAGCAGCCTTGAACCAGTGCCGGGCCACGGGCTCCTAGGACAGGGCGGCCAAGTCTCATTTACCTCCAGAGTGTCGGTACCTAGTAACCAATACGGGTTTTGGAATGAATGGCAAACACTCTACTGGTCAAGAACATCCATCTTTATTTCTATTTCAGGATGTTTTAGGGATGAAGCCTTTGAGACTCTCTGGGGAAGAGGGAGGAAGGGTACAGGATTCTCTGGAAAAGCCAACCAGAACATACAAGCCCAAGTCTTCACGGTGGCTCATGAGGCCTGCACCATCTGACCACTTCTCTCTGTCCTCACCTCCTTCCACTGTCCCTCGTTCCTTCCACTCCAATCCTCTTGCAGTTCCTTGAAGCCCAAGAACATTCCCACCTGAGAGCCTTTGTTCCCTTTTTCCTTCAAGCCTCCCTCCCTCGCTTTGTTCGGGTCCTGCTCCAATGACACCTAATCAGGGGGGCCTTCCCTGGTATCCTGCCTAAAACAGCAATGCCTGTTCCCCCAACTTCCTCTCACTCTGACTTGGCTTTATTATCATTATTTCTGCTTTATTTTTTCCATAACACTTAATACTACCTGGTACAGTATACGCTTATTTATTTATTGACACTCCCCTGATCCCACTAGAATGCAAGCTTGAAGAGAACAGGAATTTTGTTTTTTGCTTTGTTTTGTTTCGTGTGGATCCCTAACACCAAGAATACCCCTGCTGCGTAGGACATGCTCCATACATATTTGTGGAATGCACGGATGGCTGGATAAATGAATGCCCCACAATAGCTAACAGTCCACAGTCAAGGAAGAAAGCCAGTGCTGTGGGCCTGGATGAACATGTGCTTGAAACTTAACTGTCTCGCTGAGGGGCCAGGACACCTGGCTCCAACTGTGAGGACATTCCTCTGGGTCTTGGAAGTACACTGGTTTGAAGTGAAAAAGCTGCTGGGGGTGAGTTAGTTTTCAGCTACTATCTGATAGGACAAAGGATGGACTCAACAGGCCGGGAGGGTGGTGAGACCTGAGGTTGGATGTAACAGGGCAAACCTTCAAATGGCCGAACCACAGAGGGCGATCTGGCCAAGGCGAGGTGAGAACGGGCCGGTATTGAAGAGGAACTCTGAAATCAAGATTAACAGCTCTGGGCTTCCCTGGTGGCGCAGTGGTTGAGAGTCCGCCTGCCGATGCAGGGGACGCGGGTTCGTGCCCCGGTCCGGGAAGATCCCACATGCCACAGAGAGGCTGGGCCCGTGAGCCATGGCCACTGAGCCTGCGCGTCCGGAGCCTGTGCTCCGCAACGGGAGAGGCCACAACAGTGAGAGGCCCGCGTACCGCAAAAAGAAAAAAAAAAGATTAACAGCTCTGGGCTTCCTTAACTGCGTGTGTAGACAAGGTCTGTCCCTAGACTTTAGGCACAGGTTCAAATGCAACCCAACGAGGGCTCAAAGCTGTACTGAAATACCTCTGATTAATCTGACATTTTTTGAGGTTTACTATAAGCAAGAAACTATGCTAATGCATTACCGTCTCCTTTGCGCCTCACCACAAGCCTGCCACACAGGGAGGACTGTCCCTATCTTGCGGATGGGGAAACAGAAGCTCAGGAATTTACAACGATCTAGGCAAAATCACTCAACCGATAAATAGCAGAACTGAGATTTGAAGTCAGGTCTGTCTAATTTCAAAAGCTCTTCTCCTTCCTCTGAAGTACGCTACAGCTCAGGGACCCCTCTGGGGAAAGAAACCACAAGAGGAAGAAGGGAAGGGAGCACAAGATAAATCTGTTCCCCTCAAGAATGAGAATCTGGTATAAGGACCAAGCCTGGGATAAAATAATCCCAGGAACTCAGAATTGGAAAATACCTGAGAAATCACCTGGTCTTACAGGTGATTCTCAGCTTCATGAAATGCTTCTGGTTTTAGTTTTGAGGGACAATCAGGATATCTAAATGCAAAAGAAGAGCTTTAGGAGAGGAGAGCAGATGGTCACAGCAGCAACCGCTGAAAGAGTAACAGGTGTGAGATCATCTCAGTGTACTGTCACTTCCTTCGTGACTCCTGACCTTGGATGTGTGGGTGCCCTGGGCCAGCTTAGAGGAGATGTGCTAATACAACAAAGTCCAAGGAGCTGAAATCAGCAGACCTTGAGTCATTGGAGAGGGATGTCAGCCCGTGTCAGGTCCAAGTTCAATGATGTTCAAGTAGGTGTGGCCCTCTCCTTCCTGATAAGAAGAAAAGTGCCCATAACTGGGAGAAGGTGAAAGAGGGAGAGAACCAACATGCTGGCAGTGAGGGAAGAGGGCAAGGGGAGTGGTGATCTGAGGCTGGTGCATCGCGGTGCCGAATTTACCTCTAAATTCAGCCGCATTTACCTCTAAAAATGTTACAGCAAGTGAGATGCCAGCCAGACTTCCGGCATGAGACCTAAATTCCATGCCAGGTGGGCTACTTCTCTCCCTGCTGGTCTCAGTCTGGATGGCCAGAAAGAAGCCCTCAGATGCATTCTGCAGGGACAAAGCGACCTCCAGCAACAGCTCTAATCTGCTCTCCCCCTGCATGTAGTTCCAAGCGACTGTTTCCTGCCTAAACACTAAAAAGACTGAAGATAGCAACAGCTCCCACTCAGAATGCAGTTATAGAACCCAGGGACATTTAAGCACTTCGAAATTACAGCTACTTTGAAGTGCACATCAATTCTTCATTATGTCCTTGTTTTTTTTGCTTTTCGGTTTTTTTCCTTGTACATGTATGTGGTGTTAGGAAGGATGGCTTCCAATCAGAGATGACAAATCTGGTGGAAGGACCATCCTCAATACTTGCAGGTATCCCGTAAGCCTGCATATCGCAGATTCTCTGCACTATGATGTTGGTCATCACCGTGCTGCTGGCCATAAGCAGAGACAGTTGATTCTTACCTGGAGATCTCCCTTGTGACTCAGATTCACCAATCCAGGCTGATGGAACGAACCAGATGAGCAGCTGTTTGGCCAAGACAAGTCTGGCTCCCTAAATCAGGGCTGTGGTCCCCAAGAGTCCTGTGGTTTCTCTGTTCTTGGTGAGTGATAATCTGCAGAAAGGGAATGCAAGTGATGTTACCAGGAGAGGCCGTTTCCTCTTCTCCTCTCATCATAATACATTCTTTTAAGGAGAGCAGAGAGAGTCCCAGAATCACAGATTCCTAGGGCTGGAAGAAATGCAATAACCTTGTCTAATGCTTCTGTAGTTGAGGAAACTGAGGCTCAGAGAAGAAAAGAGCTTCCTTCAAGGGTTTAGCCGCTCGGGATGAGATTCCAGATTAGAATGTGTCTCTGACTCTCTGGTCTCTGGAATTTTTAAAAAAAAGCAGCCACATGATTGGGCTGGCTTCTCAAACAAGTGGTCACTGACCCTGAATAGAAGTCTTTTATTTAACGGATTTTCAAGACGGGAGGTGGCACTTTGCTCTGCATTTTGCTGTTTCTGTAGTTTTACTCCTGGGGGTTGAGTAAAACAGTCCAGCTCAGGCACGGGGTTGGGAGGATTCTCCCTTTATCTCATTAGAAAAATACTGTTATGGAATAGTGGGACCTGTGGGCACAGCAGTGGGTGGACTTGGTTTTTTAATGATAGATGTATGTGCACCCAGCCTCTAGGTCTCCTGGTCTCTCTCTGTCTCTATCTCTCTATCTCTTTCTGTCTGTCTGTCTCTCTCTCCATGTTTCATGAAAACACAGGAACAGACATGGGTTTTCCTCCCATGAGTATCATTTATTATGTGATTTTTCTTGTTTTTTTTATTAAAGTCTAGTTGATTTACAATGTTGTATTACTTTCTGGTGTACAGCAAAGTGATTCAGTTATACATGCACACACACACACACACACACACATATATGTTCTTTTTCAGATTCTTTTCCATTATGGTTTATTACAGGATATTGAATATAGTTCCCTGTGCTACACAGTAGGACCTTGTTGTTTTATTATGTGATTTTTCTGAACACCAAACATTTGAACAGCCACTCCTCTGGGCCAAAAACCAAAACCAAAGAAGGGATCTCACATTTGTTAAGCAAATAATACCTAACAGGCACATCGGTGAACCTTACATTTTCCTAATTTGTCCTCAAAAATTCTGCTAAAGGTACCAGGAACTCCATTTTTCTGGTTAGGGAACCGAGCTAGAGAGAACTAGAGTGCCCTGAAGAGTCATAAAGAGAGTTCGGTGCAGAACCAGGCATGAACTCATATCTAACTCCCAAATCGATGTTTTGTCCATCTAAACTGGACTAGAGCTATTAGGCCAAAACACTAGGAGTTGTCTTATTTTTCCAGTGTGTTAGCTGGAAGGCAGGAGAAAGTTCTTTGGCAGCTGTTAACGTTGCAAGGATGTGAAGGGTTATTCTCGTTAGGTTCTCATTCAGACAGGAGGCTCTAAAGGCCCTGGCTTCCTGTATACTGCCAGCCAGGGCTCATGTGCCCCAGAGAAGCCAGGCCGGCCCTGGCTCTGAGCAACCAGAGGGCCCATCAGGAAATCGTGATGATCAACGCTCGGTCTCTGTTCCTGTTCTGGGACAGGGCTGGAGAGATGGGGTGCGGATGGAGAAAAGAGGAAGAGAAAACAGGAAGTTGGGGGGAAGGGAAGGATATGATAGAGAAAACACAGCGACTTTAGCCTGATGAGAAAGTGATTTCTGAGCCCTGCATTTTGGGAAACCAGGTCACAGTGGTAGTGGCGGAGAGGAGTTTGTTTCCTCTGAATTTGGGGTTGTGCCTGTGAATTTCCATCAGAGCACAGCCTGAGGAAAAGGGTGCCTGCCACAGGTGCTGTTTCCCAGGGGCACCTGAGTGTAGATACTGGAGAAGGTGAATTTCTAAAAAAAGAATCCCCAGGTGAGACCACCTCTCTGACCTCTTGACTGTAGCTGAGGCCAGATGAATCATAGAAGGACCTGGAAACATGAAAAGCTTTCGAGGTGATCAGGCATCAGGGGCGCTATCCCATCCCCACCACTTTCCTTCTCAAATGGCCCTCAAAATTATAACCCATTTTCAGTGTATTTGATTAGGACTTGATTCCCCCAGTGGGCCAGGAAGAATCCCGCTTTCTTCTACTGCAAAACTAAGAGGGTCAGGCCAGCAGAACGCTGAGTCTCCTCCAGACCATGACTCTAATAAGATACTTCCAGAATCTTTCCCTACCATTTTGTCCACTCTACTTAATTATAGACACTACAAAAGTTCCCCAGCTCCCAATGCTCATCACGAAGGCTGGCAGTCACCTGGTAAGTTGAACAACACACAAACAGACAACCCTAATAATAATCCAATCACACTGTAACGCCAATACTAGTAATACTCTACAGTTTCCCGATGGGTACTAGAAGGTGGGCAGGGAACACAGAGCCCCCTAACAGGCAAGCCCTCAGATACCAATTCCACCCACTCCAGTGGTTCCCCAAACTGGCTGTGCAACTGGAGAAGCTAAAAAGGAAAAAGTACCATCCCAACCTGGAGTAGGGGCCAAGCTTCTGGAGAGTTACGTCACCAACTGGCTCTGGTCCACGGACCAGCATTTAGATACCTTGGATCCTAACCCAACCCTCACCAGGTCCCACCTCCTCCCATCTTACTGATTCAATCACGGAGACCCTACCATGGAGGAGCTCGCTCCAGGGATCTGTCCTTGACTCTCTAAACCACTCCCCCCACCATCCAAATAAACACAGAGCAATAAAAAGTAAGCCTGTCCTTGAGAGGATTCCAAGGTTTTTGAAGAGCTGGCTGGTGGTTTCCTGTGTGAGTCACTCACAGGCCAGAGGTCCCTCAGGGTGAACAGAGATCGAGTAGGGAAAGACACTTACAACCCCCGTCTAGGTCCTCACCAGAAGCCCAACCTCACACAACATCCCCAAGTCCGCTTCCGTCGCCAGTGGTTATGAACGACCAGAGATGCTGCCAGCGAGCGTCCCTCTGCTCCGTGAAGGAGACTGACACCACCTGGGACCGTCAGGAGGTGGCACACCTAGCAGCCAGAAACACTTTTCAGCATCTTGTCTTCTTTGGTCATTTTCAGAGAGGGACAAAGCATGGGGTCATTAGCACACTTTAAAAATGGGGAAGCTGAAATCTAGAGACATAAAATGACTTCTCCCAGGTCACACAACAGAACCAAAACTAGAACAGCCATCTGCTGACCTCCAGTCCAGTGACCTGTGACCTTACCACTACCTCCTGTGCTCCCCTTACCCCCCACGCCCCCATTCACGGGAGGGGCTGACAACAGCTGTGTGTCTTCCGCTTTTGCATGGTTCTGGAAGTGACAGGGCTGGGCGGGGGGCAAACTGAGAGAAGGCGATGCAAACAGATGGTGAGGGGACTGGAGGGCCTGGAAGACCACCCTCCTGCCCTCCAGGCTGAGCAGACACGGAATCTAAAGCCAGGGTGGGAGCCTGCTTGTTCAAGCCCCAAGTTAACCAGCAGCGGAGCCTATCCCGAGTCAGGGAACCTCATTATGACCTCTCCCACAGCACCAGGAGTCCTGGCCAATGAGAAGAATTACAAACGGGTAGGTTTTTTGTTTGTTTTTTAATATCTTTATTAGAATATAATTGCTTTACAATGGTGTGTTAGTTTCTGCTTCATAACAAAGTGAATCAGCTATACATATAAATACATCCCCGTATCTCCTCCCTCTTGCGTCTCCCTCCCACCCTCCCTATCCCACCCCTCTAGGTGGACAGAAAGCACTGAGCTGATTTCCCAGTACTATACAGCTGCTTCTCACTAGCTATCCATTTTACATTTGGTAGTGTATATATGTCCATGCCGCTCTCTCACTTCTTCCCAGCTTACCCTTCCCCCTCCCCATGTCGTCAAGTCCATTCTCTATGTCTGCGTCTTTATTCCTGCCCTGCCCCAAGGCTCTTCAGAACCATCTTTTTTTTTTTTAGATTCCATATACATGTGTTAGCATACGGTATTTGTTTTTCTCTTCTGACTTACTTCACTCTGTATGACAGACTCTAGGTCCATCCACCTCAGTACAAATAACTCAATTTCGTTTCTTTTTATGGCTGAGTAATATTCCATTGTATATATGTGCCACATCTTCTTTATCCATTCCTCTGTCAACAGACACTTAGGTTGCTTCCATGTCCTGGCTATTGTAAATAGAGCCACAGTGAACACTGTGGTACATGACTCTTCTTGAATTACGGTTTTCTCAGGGTATATGCCCAGTAGTGGGATTGCTGGGTTGTATGGTAGTTCTATTTTTATTTTTTTAGGGACCCTCCATACTGTTCTCCATAGTGGCTGTATCAGTTTACATTCCCACCAACAGTGCAAGAGGGTTCCCTTCTCTCCACACGCTCTCCAGCATTTATTGTTTGTATATTTTTTGATGATGGCCATTCTGACTGGTGTGAGATGATACCTCATTGTAGTTTTGATTTGCATTTCTCTAATGATTAGTGATGCTGAGCATCCTTTCATGTGTTTGTTTGCAATCTGTATACCTTCTTTGGAGAAATGTCTATTTAGGTCTTCTGCCCATTTCTGGGTTGGGTCGTTTGTTTTCTTGATATTGAGCTGCATGAGCTGCTTGTAAATTTTGGAGATTAATCCTCTGTCAGTTGCTTCACTTGCAAATATTTTCTCCCATTCTTTTTATGGTTTCCTTTGCTGTGCAAAGCCTTTTAAGTTTCATTAGGTCCAATTTGTTTATTTTATTTTTTTATTTCCATTTCTCTAGGAGGTGGGTCAAAAAGGATCTTGCTGTGATTTATGTCATAGACTGTTCTGCCTATGTTCTCTCCTTTAAGAGTTTTATAGTGTTTGGCCTTACATTTAGGTCTTTAATCCATTTTAGTTTATTTTTGTGTATGGTGTCAGGGAGTGTTCTAATTTCATTCTTTTACATGTAGCTGTCCAGTTTTGCCAGCACAACTTATTGAAGAGGCTGTCTTTTCTCCATTGTATATTCTTGCCTCCTTAATCAAAAATAAGATGGCCATATGTGCGTGGGTTTATCTCTGGGCTTTCTATCTTGTTCCATTGATCTATATTTCTGTTTTTGTGCCAGTA